CAGGGACACCTCCAGGGAAGGGGGGAAATCTCCATTTGGTGCCCACCATCCCTCTGCCCTTGCTCAGGAGATCCCCAAGACCCCAGACCACGCTCCGTCCCGCACCTTCTACCTGTACACAGTGAACGTGATGGCTGCTGCTCGCATGCTGCTGCACAGGTGCTACAAGGTGAGTGCAGGGGCCAATGCCACGGATCCTGGGGCTGGTGTGTCCCAGATCCTGGCCCTGGTGTGTGCCAGATCACAGATCCTGGTGTGTCCCAGATCACAGATCCTGGTCCTGGTCTGTCCCAGATCACAGATCCTGATGCTGGTGTGTCCCAGGTCACGGATCCTGGTCTGTCCCAGATCACAGATCACAGATCCTGGTCTGTCCCAGATCACAGATCCTGGTCCTGGTGTGTGCCAGATCCCAGATCCTGGTGTGTCCCAGATCCCAGATCCTGGTGTGTCCCAGGTCACAGATCCTGGTCTGTCCCAGATCACAGATCCTGGTCCTGGTCTGTCCCAGGTCACAGATCCTGGTCCTGGTGTGTCCCAGATCACAGATCCTGGTGTGTCCCAGATCACGGATCCTGGTCCTGGTGTGTCCCAGATCCCGGTCCTGGTGTGTCCCAGATCACGGATCCTGCTGTGTCCCAGATCACGGATCCTGGTCCTGGTCTGTCCCAGATCACAGATCCTGGTCTGTCCCAGATCACAGATCCTGATCCTGGTCTGTCCCAGATCACAGATCACAGATCCTGGTGTGTCCCAGATCACAGATCCTGGTCCTGGTGTGTCCCAGGTCACAGATCCTGGTGTGTCCCAGATCACAGATCCTGGTGTGTCCCAGGTCACAGATCCTGGTGTGTCCCAGACACAGATCCCGGTCCTGGTGTGTCCCAGATCACAGATCCTGATCCTGGTGTGTTCCAGGTCACAGATCCTGGTGTGTCCCAGGTCACAGATCCTGGTCCTGGTGTGTCCGAGACCACAGATCCTGGTGTGTCCCAGATCACGGATCCTGGTGTGTCCCAGATCACGGATCCTGGTCCTGGTGTGTCCCAGATCACAGATCCTGGTCTGTCCCAGATCACGGATCCTGGTGTGTCCCAGATCACAGATCCTGGTGTGTCCCTGCAGGAATTGCCAGGGAATCCAGGCCCTGATGCAGGGAACCATCCCAGTTTGGTCCCAGTCCCTCCCAGTCCATCCCAGTCCCATCCCAGTTTGGTCTCATTCCATCCCAGTCCATCCCAGTCCTTCCTAGTCCACCCCAGCTCATTCCCAGTCCCTCCCAGTTTGGTCCCAGTCCCTCCCAGTCCATCCCAATCCATCCCAATCCCCCCCAATCCCCTCCCAGCGCCACCCTCGCTCCGTGGCCGCCTCCCCGTGGCATTCTCAGTGCTGTCAGTGACCGTCCCCATGTCCCCCATGGGTGTCACTGTCTGTCCCCATGTCCCCCATGGGTGTCAGTGACTGTCCCCGTGTCCCCCATGGC